AGGTTGACGACACTCATAAAAAGGAGAAGCTATGTAAGTTATGACGAGGTCCGTTACGAATAGTCATTCGTAATTATTTGATTTCGTTGTAACCTTACAGAATGACGTTATAGATATGTCGACCCACCCTTACTCACCATTTAACACTAACTGTTCTGTGCGCCCAAGCGTCATTCACAATCATATTACGTTGAAAAAACTCAAATTGTTTCTTTTTCATATTTTACTGACTTGCCTGATTTTAGTCCTACATTTTGTTGCATAAAACAGCTTATGTTATATACCTTTAATATTGTAATTATTAAATAAAATATTTCATTAAAAGTTTATTTGTTTTTATTTATCTAAAATATATATACACTACACTGGAAATGAATATAATTAATACTTAATTTTTACTCATTACCATTAAGTTGTAACAATTGAAATTTAAGTATATTTGTCTTGATCAATGATGGCTGCAAAAACATGAATGAAAAGAGGGAGCCAAGTCAAAAATAAAACATTTTTTTCTGATAAGCGTATACTACTTATATTATTTTTTTTTACAATTTAATTTATTATATAGGTAAGTGGTTTTCACAAATGAATTAATTTAAATATTTTTGTTATAGAACATTAATAGAACTAAAAAAAAATGTACGAGTCAATTTTTAAAATGCTGCCCTTACTAAAGTGCCGCTCTAGGCAGGTGCCTAGCTCGCCTATACTTTGAGCCAACCATGTACATATAGTTAAACTACAAAATGAATCTGAGTATAAGATAATAATTCAAATATTTTTAAATTGCTCAAATTGTTATTCTTCTCCCATACTATCATCTAATTTAGGAACTTTTTTTGTTGACAATAAGTGTTACAGATGTAAAATATAAATGTTATTTTGTACCAATATCATATAAAAAAGCAATTGTAACAACATTAGTTCGTAGTATATCTGAGTTCTGCTAGTTATTTATATAAAAATTGTTAAAATTTGGTATTTTTTTTATTTATTACATTATTATATTTATTTTATTGATTTATTATATTTAAATATACTATAACATAATTATGTATGTAAATATGTTTATAAAAATAAATAATATTTGATCTTGAAAACAGTATTGTAATTATAATACCTACAAGTTGTTAAGTACCTACCGTTGTCCTGTCCTTTATTTATTTAATTTTAAGTTATAATACTATCACTGACCTACATCAATATTTCAAAGGTCAGCAAAAATTCATGTTAAAAAAAAGATACCCACTTAAAAATCTTTTAAATTTTTGTGGGAATTCAGTAGGAATTTTACAAAAAATCTCAGTATATCTGATGAAATTAAAATCAGTTCATTAACCAGATTCTTGGATTCTTGGTTCATTATTTTAATCAGGATTCATCAAAATATTCGATAGATCAAATATTCCACAATATATCCAATACCTATACTCACTATATTTCTGTATCAGTAGTTGATATTAACTTTTAAAGTCGATGTTTAATAACCTTGTATTCGCTCATATAACGCATCTGATAAGTAGGGTAGGTTAACTATTGCGTAGGTTAGATAGGTATATTAAACGCGTAAAGATAGTGATCAACAGATCGAATCACGGAAGATTTTATAATTTTTGCTTTTTTTCATGTTTAAATAATAACTTGCATGCAACATTATTGTAGTAGTAACAAAAATGTATAGTTGATACAACTAAATAATTGTAACTAAACCTGAACGGTAATAACAACTAAATGAGTAGCTGTCGCTATGTTAACCCATAATTTTGGGTTATATTAACTATTTAAATGATTATCACAACTATTATTTTTTTCCGTGTGTATAACAAAGAGGTAATCGCAGTCGTGGTTATTCCACAGACTAAGTGAAAATAATTATTTATAGCCTATGGGTCTTTCTTGAAAATGTTATTTTCTACGTTTTAGATCAATATTGTAGTGTTCACTTTATTGTTGACTCGTTATAATTACACAGCATACGTTATAATTATTTGGGTAGGTTATTAGCATGATCCATTTTGGTGATCCTGAAATAGCTCGACACCATGACCGAGACGTAGTGAATTTGGTCAGGCCTCGGGGCTACAGCCCCAGCTGCCCTATATATATATATATATATATATATGTGTGTGTATAGGCCCTCTCATCAGGCCTATACATACAGTGCCATATTTAACGAGGGCACAGGGGGGTGAAATGCACTAGGGCCTCTAAAATTGAAAATTGGTCGTTTCGCTATTTTTTAATTTTTTTTAAGTTACTTAAGTTAGTTTTTAAATTTAAGATCTATCCATCGGCATTTTTTCTTTCTTTTCAACACTTTACTACATTATTAGACATCTTTCCCGCACTCGATTTAATGTTAGAGGACCGCAGCTCTGACACGTAGGCAAAGTGAACAGACACTGTTTCGGGCGGTCACCTAGGGGATAATCCCAAAATCAAGTTATCGATGTATTTGCGGATCGGAATAGCTGAAAAAAGGAAAAAAAATATCGACACAGATCGTACATATTACGCAAGTATTGAAGACTTTGCGTGCCATAGGATTTAAACACTTAAGTTAAAACTTTTAGTTTGTTGTGATCAAATATTCGATCGTATACTCGTCGTTCAAAAACCCATTGCATTTGTCCGTCATTGACCGATTGACGGCTCCGTGAATTCCTCCGACACTGTAATCCACCGCTATACAACCCTTCTCGGTATATTCAGTGAATGTAGAGAACTAAACGTAATGAACACATGTGATACAGTAGTGAGAGTCTGACGGTGTCCGTATATGTACGTGCTCAATATTTAATTTAATTTTTTTTTTATTTGAAAATATCATATGGAATATAAAAGTTATAATGTCATACCGTTATCTGTAATCGTGACAAAATGTCATAATATAATATGAAGAACGAAAGAAAAATAAAATATGGTTTCGTTAGGAAACAACACAACATTATCAATCGAGTATGCGTGTTTTACAGTGCGACCGAAGTACGTCACACGACTTTGAACACGATACGCGTATATGGTAAATAATTATATGGCATACAGTGTATGCTCAAAATGTTAGAATGATAAAAACAGAATCGTTTATGATATTTTTTTTTTTCAAGTAATTAATTATGTACATATTTCGTATGACTTTAATTAATAAATTTACGTATTTTATTTTTAATAGATAAATTCAAAGGCACAGACAATAGACAGAAAAAATATGATTATGATCATATAGCACTTAAAATCATTAAAATAAGCATTTAAAAAAGTGCTAAAAACATCATTATAAGCACTAAAATAAGCATTTCGAAAATTTAAAATTAAGCAAAAATATTTATTCAAAAAAAAAAAAAAAAAAAACTATAAAATAAATAAATCTTCACTTTTAAGACTTTAATGATTTTATGGATTTTCTAAGGGATTTTTCTGAAAAATAAAATGATCTTTTTGTTTTTGATCATTCTGATATTTGACACTCAGTTCTATTTTCAGCGTTGGAATATCTATGTGAACTTTACAACAATGCCTCGGACGGCGAATTATTTTTATTTTTAATTCTATAAAAAACGACTTTGCAGGAGAAAAATATAAAAATGTAACAAAAAACTGGTAAAATAAACAAAAATAATCAGAAAAACTGGAAATAATAATTTTTTTTAAAATTGCTGAAAAAAGCAAAAAAAGGCACTTTCAAATTTCATAATTTTACGTGTTATAACTTGACATACACTTCTATAGCACTCTACTACATTTTAAATCAATCCATAAAAATAAGCAAATGCTTTAACCCCCGAGCTCTGATTATGATCATAAAAATCATACACAATTACAATTATTGTAATTATTTTTAAGTGGTTTTTGTATTTTGAGGTTGATTTCATTTTTCTGGTGACTATTCTTAATGATTTTCTGATGGATGTCATAACTTGCTTTTGAAATTTGATATTGTTTTTTGTTTGGTAATTTTGTAGTCTCTTCTTAGATTCTTTCTCTTATTTATAGCTTTACTTTCATCGTGACTGGCAGAATGATTATTTAATGGATTTCTACTTTGAAGAGGATTTTCATTATCAATTTTAATTCTAAGAGCAACGGCAGCACAATTAGCAACATCAATTAAATATGATAATAATACGTGGATGAATGAAACTCAATGACACTTTTATTGGTTAAATAATTCATTATTCTTACAGCCTAACATTAAAGGTAACATTTTTAATATTGGATTTCGATAAGATTCTGGTATATAACCGGCAAACGGACTCAGTTCAGAATTACAATCCTGGTTCAGTTGCACATTTTCTAGAAGAGCATTGTTTTAAAGAAGTAGTTTGTCTAAATCAGAAAATGAAAAATCTATCATACCGGTCACCATCCGAACGATGAGATTTATAGAGTTTATGAATTTCCGGTAAGTTCTCGTAAATCGTATATCGTTCTCGGTATGATAGTGATTGCGTTCATTTGATCACTGGTCTCGACCCTATAACAGTTGACTTTGCCCATTTTCTTACCCATGATGTCCATTTTACGTTGCATCGAAGGTATTTCTTCGTACACCATTCGTCTATGGTTTTACGATCTCATTCGTGGAAAGAACCAGATTCAGACCACGAAACTGCCCAACAGAAAACGAAAAATAATAATTATATCCTCGAACAGTCCTCACGCGAAATGGGAACAATCAAGAAAGGTTAAAGAACGGGGAACACTCAATCGTTGCCAATGTCGTTTCTATCAATCTACGGCAAGCGATAATGCCGTCGTCACACGGTTGCTCGGAAGCGGAGACCCGTGACAGTTGACACGCAATACGAGCGAGCGAGCTCAGTGGTTTCTAACTAAATAATTGATACGTATGTACAATATACACAACACTTCATTATATAATGTACAAATCGTAATTGCTAACAAAACTAAGTGTAAAGGTTAATTTTATTCGTATCCAATACATAGTTTTTATGGTAAAATTTAACAAATTTATATTAATACAAAAGGAACTAATTTTTATTTTAAATTTATAAATAAACATCTTAATAGCAAGTTACACATTTTGATTAATGTTTTTCGTTTGTTCAATAATACATAATATTACTACTACTTTATTCCGAAAACGTAATAAAAACGCGTCGAACAATAATGTACCTACACATATTATATACACGTCATTTTCGAATCGGGCGATATTCTAGGGCACAACCGATCGTTTAATAAATATCTAATAAGAAAAAAAAATATTAATATTAATAAAAATTATAATAGATAAAGTTTCATTGAAAACACGTTTTCTTTAGCGAACAATACAAGACAATACAGATTCAGAGAAATACGAATAGTTCAATACATTTTTGTCGCATCTATTGAATCGTAACATAAATCAAGTATTTATACCTAATATATACATTATTATACATAAAAGTGAATTCTGCATCCGGGATATGGATTGTAGATCGGCATCGTTTAAGGCTAATGTATATATATATATATAATACATTATTGCAATTTAGTTAATCGTTGGTTTCCATGGCCTGAAATACAAATGAAACAGATTTTAATACACAATATATTACAAAAAAAAAATTGTTTTTTTTTTTTAACAAGGTGTGAAATCTTTATTTCACTGTCTAAATATTAATATAATATAATATAACACCTATATAATATATATAATATGAGTTACGAATTGACCGAAACGCGCAGATATAATAGCAAATGAATTATAATAATTCATGCACCCGACCAGCATATCGTTATATACACCTACACAATCATAGGCGAAGCTAAACACTTTTGTTAGATCAGGCCAAATGAAAAATATAAAAAGTATTATTACGTAAAATTAACTATTATTTCCTATAATATAATTATAAAAACAAACGTCAAATGTCTAAATTAAAAAATAACTAATAAAACCGATTATTTGAATACATAGAATAGACTTATTATGTTCTATTATAATCCTTATTTGTACTAATTGTACCTATATACTAGATTATATTATAGTATTATATGAAACGTACAAATGTATACGTTTACATGTATAAATATATTAGTCTAAATAATTATTAAAATATATAATATATACATATTTTTCGTTAGTATTAGGTCAGGCCATGACCTGACTGACCTGACCCGTAGTTTCGTCTATATACACAATAATAATATAATTTTTAAGTATACTGATTCGTTTCACGTGTGCGTGTGCATATTTATTTATGGATACTATAGACAATATGATAAAGTGGGCACGATCTTCAATGATTGTTGAAAAAAATCGAATGTGTATAGAGAAACTAGATTTCAATTCAATACGTACCTACTATATAGTTATGATACCAAAACACGAGGACACCGGAGTAGTTATATAAATGGATTGGATACATATAGACAAGTTGTACGATTAAATGTTCACTCAATATAAGTAATATAAGTAAAATTTGTAAGTATAAAGTTAGATATTGTGTCCATTCTTCTATTTTATACACATTCTATAACATCGAACCAATTTAAAATTTCAATTTACGGTATTCTAAAGAAAAAAGAAATATTACTGTGTGCGTCCAAATTTATCATACATACAAGGATATACAATATATATTATATCGTATAAATTTTATAATTTTTTATAATATCTTAAATATAATCTGCGGTGAAACTTGTACGCGATGTGTGTAATTTTTGAGACAAAAATCATTTTTTTAATGTACAGCTCTATTCGAAATTATTTCCATTACACTTTATGGGTATAGCCTTTGATTATATATTATATTTACATCGAATTATGTAGTAATTAATAAAAATTATAATTTATAAGATCCATTCGTTTTCCAGACGTTTTTTAATGTGTGGATCCTATAGTTAATTTTTTTGTGCATATTTTTTCATACTTAAATGAAAATGCATATTAATTGTTTATTTCTGGATATTGCATAGATGTTGCATATTCTACGATAATAATAATTATTATTATTACAATTCTATTTCTATTCATTAAAATACGTCTGTACAAATATCTACTGTTGGTCGTAAAATCACCATTATAATGTAAATCGATAAGTTATCAATGAATGACGAAAAGTATTGGATTTTCTCGTGGTAAATTTACAATTATCTACACGCGTTTGCAATGGATAACAGTAAATGTACACATGTTTTACTATACATATTGGAACACAGAATTTAGTTTTAGTTTGATCTGTCCATTAAATGTGGGTAGTGTATAGTGTACGGTATATTTTGTTTAAAAAATTATAATTACGCCTTATATTTTTATATAATGCCAAAAGTAAATAAGGTATAACAGGTATGTAAATTAATATCCAAACATATTTAAGACAGACAGAAATATTTTATTTTGCAACTTTTGTTGTGTAAATGTATCATATAACAGAAAATGTTAATTAGCACAACATTTAGAAACTATTTATAAAACATAAATCGAATTGCATGTTGAAAGAAGAAAATAGCTATCAACCTTTTATAAAAAATACATTTAGTCAGGTCAAAAACTAAAAATCAAAATACAAATTATTTTAACAAAGATCTATGTAACTTTATGGTGGTTAACGATATTTCACTTTTTAAATTAAATAATCCAAAGTTTAAATTGTTTTTTTGAAAAATATCTAAAACTTAAATTACCAGATGAATCAACCCTCCGAAAGATCTATTTACTATTATCCTATGATGATGCTTTATATAAAATTAGTAATAAGATGGGGAACAGCCAGATTTAGGTTTTACTCGATGAGACAATTTATGTATACGGACGATATATAGATAGTGTCATTATTGAGAAATTATCAACTGAAGAATATACAAAACCAATCGTTTTAACAGTTGAGCAATTACAAAAAATAATTTTTCGGAATGATTCAAAATCTGTGTTACGTCAACATACGTTAACTATCATAATTTGTTTAAGTCTGGTCAGTGACTAAAACAAGTGTTACAATCTCTGCAAAAAGACCAACTTGGAACCCAAACTTTGAAGCTAAGAGAAAAAAATACTTGACTGCAGATTCCATCTGCTTCGTCCCAAATTCAAATAAAAATTTTCAACAAAATAAAAACATTGATGTAAAAGTTATTACTACGGAGACTTTTTTTGGCATACGGTAAATTTCTGAAGTAAAAAACAACTTACAAACAAAAATGTAGCTATATCCGTGCATACGATGGAGACGTTTTCGATTGGCAAATAAAAAGATATTTAATTAGACTGGTCGCATTAAATGAACGTGCGTATACATGCCGACGACAACACATTCAATAACACCGGCGGACCGCGATGAGACAAACGTGTGTCCGCTCTGGTCATGCGCGCCCGCGCGTGTGTGGTCGCGTCGGTTGCAGCCGCCCGGTACGATCAAACCGCACCGTCGTCAGGATGACGAAAACGACGACGATCAATAGTACCTACCCAAACCAGTGCCGTTCCGAGGGCAGAGCAAACGGGGCACTTACCCAGGGCCTTGTATCTCCAAGGACTTTGCATTTATACAATAATATATATGTTACGGTGAATGATGTAAACGTGGTAAAAGACGTCATTCCCCGGTAAATGACATCATTTACCTAAAAATTGGTAAACGTTGTAAATGCAGACATTCTCCGGTTATTGTGGTCAATCACCAGTTTAATTGGAGAATGACGTTTAATACTTTTATGTCGGTGTGAACGATCAGCGATAAGCGTGTAGGTGCCGAATAAGCTTCATACAACTGTTCGTGTGCCAATACCAGATGTTGATAGAGCACGAGGTTCTCTGCGTAATTTACTTGCTGTTATTATTTCATGCGAAGATGACATGTATAAATTATGTAAGCCAATTTTAATTTGAAAATGTTTATTTAATTTAAATAAAATAAATACCCGAATGTCTGAACCAGGTACAGAATATGGGGTGTTGAAACACAAATATACATGAGCACAAATTTCTCCATGTAAAAAAAAATTTCTAGAGCTAGATGAAGCCATGAAAAAAATTAAAGACAGGGAAATAACATTAAGAGAAGAAGCAGGACATAAAATAGCTGGTCATCAAGGATTTAATCGATGCAACTGCAAAACTGGTTGTGGTACTAAAAAATGTGCTTGCAATGCAGCGGAAATGTTGTGCAGTTCAAAATGTCATAGTAACCAAAATTGTACAAATAAATAATTTGTAATATGCACGTATTTTATAATTTTATTATTTTTTTATTTTAACAATAAATCATTATTATAAATAGTACCTATTGTAAAAAAATCAGTGTATTATTTGAGAATTATCATCATTTACCACTAGTTTTGGTAAATGACATCAATGACCGGTGAAAGATGTACATTTGAATTTAAAATTTGGTTTTTTACATCATTTACCTACATAATCGAATCATTTTGGTAAAAGACGTCATTCACCGGAGAATGACGACATTCACCAATATTCATCTTTTACCGTAACATATATGTATACAACATACCATATATAAATAGATTATAGATATATGGATTGAGGATCGCTATTCTGGTGTACCTATGAATTTCGATATAATATTGTCGGGCCTTAAATTCTAATGATGCCCAGGGCCTTTCAAAACCTAGGAACGGCACTGACCCAAACAGCAGTGTTTATCGTGATAAGTTGTACGCACGAATTATTTTGATATGCGCGTCTTGATGGACTGACATCGGTCTGTTGACAGCACTCAGACCCGGCTCAAGTGTTTAAACAAACATAGGCGAAATTTAGTTTTTGCCGCTCCATACGTGTAAATATGTTGTCAAATATTTTTTTTTATATAATACATAAAAATAGTCCAGGAAAATGCCACTCTAGGCGTGGGCCTTTATCGCCTACCCCTTGAGCTGGGCCTGATAGCACTGTACATGTTAAATTTGAACACCTATGTATGCAGAGACATACAAGTCGGGATATGATGTGAACACACGAATTATATTGTAATTTTGACTTGTGTCGGATTATTTTTATGAAATTTCAAAAGTTTATCCATTATAAACGAACTTAGTAAAAACAATAAGTATTGTTTACGCATTTAAGTATTTGAAATATATTACTTGATTCCAAAAATATTATTTAACTACTGTAATAAGCCCAATGCTCAGCATGATCTAGTAATGTTATATAAAATTATATAAACTTTATATCACAAGTATTAAAAAAGATATTACGCGAAATACATTCAATACATTCAGGGCAAAGGTAAAAACAATAAGTTTTTCACCTCTTAACATGATGCTTTGTAATTGTTGAAACTAATTGTACCCACAAAGTTTAAATAAAAAAAAAAAAAAAAATGCTAAATCATTACATTACCAGTGGAAGGGAATCACACCACTTTGACTGATGTAAATATAGGTGGATCATTTGGCATTAACTAAAAGTAGATAGGTAGTTATGATATAACCAGTGTTAGACTGGTCATTTTCCCTTTTAAATAAATTATTACTCGTCGTGGACATTGTTACAGCCACATCGTCGCGAGTACATAATTCTTTACCCAGAATAAACTGTTCTTTATTTTTGTTTTTACTGTTTGTTATTTTTCTTATGGTAAATTAATAAAAACAGTAATTTTTATAAGTGTTAACATACAAGTGTTTAATTATTTTAAATACCTATCTCTCTCACCATTACGTCTCAAGATAATAACGAACGTGTTACGTCGTTAAATAATTAATGTGGTACCGATCGTAGTGTCCTGCACATGATCACTACACTACCTAATTTTATATATTATTTTATATTATATAATTCAATATTTAATGTATAATTTTTAAGTAGCTAATATATTACTTATAAATATTATAAACCGTAGAATTGAAGAAAAAACATTAGCAATTTCTTGTGGGTGGTGTAGGATGTGTCAAAACAATTATTTCCAACTAAAAACGTTAAATTTTAAAATCTAAACTTTTATTTTTTAATTTTCATAATTTGCTATTCAAATAATTTTATATATATACGGTTTAATTAAATATTAATCAAAAAAAATTGTATGAACTATAATGTTACACCTATTAAATTTATAATTCGTAGTCGTTAATTAATGTATCGTAAATCAATTAATTTTTTGATTAATTTTCGGTTTCTATGGTGTACTTAAACATTTGAGTTTAGTTTTTAATATAATATGAAAAGTGAGTTTCTTTTTTAAATATAGGTCAATTTTTAAAAACTTTATTGTTATTAATATAAAAAGACATGTTTGAATGTTTTATATGGTTAGCTGATTATGGATAATATTAAAACGTGTTTCTATTAAATAGGTTAGATAAGGGGATGATTAACTAGATAGATTTGATACATAAATATGTACACCTCTTTGCAAGACCGAATTTTAGTGAATATTGACCTACTGCAGTAATAGTTTTTAAATTGTTTTGACGTATTTTTTTTTCAAGAGAACTTATCTTAGCCAACAAACCAATAATGAAACATAATTAAAATGTATGTGCGAATAGCAAAATTCTGTAATGTGCATATCCATTGGCTAATGAGTTCACGTCTATATTTAAAATATAACTATTTATACATTATGAATTACAAAATATTATATTTGCTAGGGTGTAAGAAAAGTATAACGCCGTGTCCTACGTAAATACAACAAATCCGATTATTGCAATACGATGCAACCAATAAGAATATTAAAATTAATAAATTGCTGGAAACGAATCTAAGCGTCCAATGCGACTAATGAGACATGACCGTATTGGCTGATTTCATCGGACGCATTTAATCGTGTGTGTTTCAAAAACAAAATTTGTTTTTGATCGCAAATTCGTATGTGATTTTCACGCTTTGTCTGACGTACCTATTATTCAATACTATTATATTAAAATAATATTACATCATTTTTATATTACGTTATTTACTTAAGTTGCTATATTTTTTTATTTTCTTAATTTTAATAATGGAATTATTAATATCGAAAGTGCAAAAAAGAAATGTGTTGTTAAATAAATGGAGCGAAAAGTATGGGGATAAGATTTTCTGTCAGAAGCATTTCGTTTTGTATTGTTAAAGGTATGGTTAGTGTTAATTTAAGCGAATAGTTTATGATTAAATTTTAATTTAATTGCATAAAATAGGTTACAGTTAACAAAAAAAAATTAATATTAATAGTACGTAGTACAGTTAGAGATATACCTACGAATCGATCGTTCAACGAATTGATTAACTATAGCAGTTGTTCTCAACCTTTTTTTGTTCACGGAACACTATTATACATCACAAGTTTTCGCGGCACACCTACGCACTTGACACCAAAAACTTTGGCTACGCGCTAAGATATTCAGTTTCATCAATAGGTATTTTCAATATATTTCCGAATAACAGTACACTTCTAAGACTAAACAATTTTAATCTATACACGTATGATTTATCTGTACAGATAAACAAATGTAAAGAAATAAAATACATTGTGTTTTCAATATTTTTATATCAGACTTTTTTCGCGGTACACCGGTTGAGAACCACTGAACTATAGTATATATACTATATATAGTTAACCTACTGATACGATAAAAGAAAAACAACGAAAATCGGTAACGTTCTAAAGATGAACGTGGACGGTATAACAAAACTGAAATTTGAAAGAATGAAAACATAAATCACTTGTCGCCTTTTAATCGATCAACTATAATATAATATTAATTGGTTAGGCATATAGGCGTAGGCACTGCAATTACAACCGCGATGTACAACTACTACTACTACTACTACTACTACTACTACTACTTTAACTATAATATGATGATAATATAACAATAGCTTGTAAGTTTATTGCAGTAAGTATACATATTTTCACCATGTACATCGATGTTTATATACTCAGAAATACACACACACACACACACAAACATACATACATCCACGAACGTATATACAGAGTTGATTAATATGTAAGAAATATTATAATTTTCGGATTAAAACACCCACGAAACAGGTTTCAGTGGGAGTCGGATCACGCGCGTCGGTGGCTCGATGATAACGAAAAAAAGAATGTAACTTCGTGCTTTATTATTATTACTGCAGTCGTCGGTCGTATAGTGTCATTAAACGGACATATGCATCTAAATAAATCTTTATTATTGCCGTTACGTTAACCTACACGTGAATAGGAAAATCGTTATATACTTACGGCTTGTGCAGCCAGCTGTTCCTCTTCTTCTTTAGTAACCATGACCGTGCTGTGGTTGTACAGGCCTTGGGCCATCAGCTGCAGGGCTAGCGGGTTTTTGGTGCCACTTGCCTTCTTGATTTTCGCCCGTTTGTTCTGAAACCATATCTTTATCTGGGCCTCGTTCAGTCCCAGCTCGTTGGCTAACTCCTGTCTCCGTCTTTCGGTTAGATACCGGTTCTCCATGAACTCTTTTTTGAGTCGGGCCAATTGGTCGCCACTGAACGCGGTCCGTGGTCTCTTCTCGTCCTGTTGCTGCTTGTCCTTTTTCTTCACGCGCCTAGTCCGAGGACCTGCAGATAATAAACAACACCATTCCCGGTTAGAAATATGGAGGCAAACGCGACGGCAAAATCAAAAATATTTTCAGTTAAACACCTACACCAAACAAATAATTCTGTTCAATCTAAAATGTTTAACAACGTTATTGCTTCAACATTTTCGGATTAATTTAAGGACAAAGACAGAGTCCCAGCATATTGTACAATCAAATCTTACGGGTTTGAAACCGATCACTCTGATGCTAAATTTAATGCAATTTAAAATTCGTGTGCGTTTTGTTTGGACGTGTATCTAATTTATATATTATACCTATATATGCGCATGTTTATTATTATAAACGGGTAAAATAACCGGTCGGATGTATCGTGTGTGGTCACATGCGGAAGTAGGGTAATTATAAAATATTGAGATTACAATTTGGACGTAGAGTTTTTAGTAATGATATTTACAATGACATGTATAGTTTAACGTTTATCTCGTGCATAGTGAGTTTAAAAATTTAAAGTCTGTAAGAATCGCATTAACATGTAAAAATATGGTACATACGGCAATTGATAGATGTATTATATTGAGTTGGTGTATTTTATACTTCATCCCGTAAAGTTTAATAGCATCGTAAATGGTAGTAGGTATAATATATATATATAAATGAAAACATATAAATGTTTACATACATATAAACTATAATTGTCGTTAATTTATTTACATTATTATTTAACTTAAACTTGTAATGGTATAGTAAATATAGATAGTTAATGATTTAATCAAATTCTTGAAAAATATCTTTGCTACACCTATACGGTTGTATCTTTATACTTTGTTTTCTTTTATAACCATAAACTTATCATAACCATAGATCTCATAAGACCGTGGATCTCGTAAAAATAATTCAATAGACAGTCAATCTATGATAATTCGAATCTAAAATATATATAACCTAAAATGTTTTTTGAGTTATCTCTATTATACTATTATACATTTTGTATTTAATTTGTTTGTATATCAGTCGAGAACATATTAAATTAAACTGTTGCAATATCAAAAGTCTCACTATGCTACCTCAGGGCTCTGACGCTATTATATAAATCCAGTCTATTTGTTATATAAATTTCAGTACCTAATTTCGTACATTTTAATAAATTATTTATCGAAATTATTTCATTTAACGTGAACAAATATTCTAATATTCTTATAATTTAATAGCTAACTATAAAAAAAAAAATGTAATGGCAGTTCGAAGTTCATATTCATTAGCCAAGACACAAGAAACAAGGTTAATATTTAATAAATTAATTCACTTCAACTACTTGGCATGAATATGAAACAAAATGTTTAAGAAGGATAAGATGTTCAAAAGAAAAATGTGTTACAAGTGTGTAAGAAAGATTTATTTATAATAATATTTATTTCAATTTATTAACTAGTTGATATTTTAAATCTATTTTTGATGTACAAAACTATCTATACGTATAAACATATTCTTGGACATTTATGATATTTTTTTTAATATAGTACAAGTATAGTATTTATAAATAAATATGCGATAGTTATATTCAATTATAATACTGTCAAATCGCGATAATAACTCGAAATTCTCAAGCGGGCACTAGAACAAAATTGTTAATCAATTGTAATCACTTAAAATTTGTTTTCCCATTATACCCTTTTATTCACAACTGTTCTATTTAAAATTATTCTTTTAGTAAACATAATCAATACCAGAAAAATGTAATATAATATAATATATTAATGTAGAATATATTTATGTATATGTCAGAAATATTATGCGTTAAAAGACCTATACTTTTGTTGTCTTCAAATTTCACAAAAAGGATATGATTTTAGCAATTATATTTTATTAAATTATATATACTAGATAAAAAATATAACCTAGCTAATAGTTTATAAATAGAATCACTATGATTTTTCGCTTGGATAATTCTAATCATCTAATATTAATATTTTATTTCAGTAGAGTATCCAGAACTTGAAAAATAAAGTAATTTATCTTTTATTTTATTAATTAATATTTTATACTTGTCTTAAGTTTCGATTGATGAACATATTTCACGAGTGAATCGTTGGATGCTTAAAAACAAGTGCTATTCTATAATATTATCATATTGGTATTTCATTTGGTTTTTTTTTTTAGAATAATTTAATTTCTATAGAACCCTTGCGGTATTTATCACAGATTCTGTAAGCTAAAGGGTAACACCCACGTAAGCAAATTGTATAATTTTAAAGGCACATATAAATTAATATTATTGTATTACATGCTATTTTTTTTTAAGTCTACATACGTATTTAAATCGTAAAAGTTGTTTTCATTTTATAAATGTAAATTGAAATCGTAAGTTTGGTCGATACGCTCAACATGTACGCACGTTACTTGTATTGTCTCCGCTATCGCGTCGTTGCGATGACTACGATTATAATTACGATGTTTGCCTTTATACAACATTTACTTAGTACACAAAGTTCAAGAAATCGTTCTCATTGCGCCAGATATGTCGTGTTAAGGAATTCTATTTAGTTTCTCAAATTCGTCTAGAATTTGTAATCTAGACGTCAAAAATTAAAAAAAAACGTTTATTTCACTAAATCGGTTTGTTGTGCTAACTTCCGATGATTGAAGGGAAAAGTATATACGTAACATCCACAAAAATCTCGAATTATCATCAATGATCGACTTGCATCAAACACGACTTTCAGTCTTCGGTTTCATCGTTCTACATTAAAAATATTACAAATTTCTCTACAGACAAGAATGAATTAACAAGGATCAGCGGATCGCTAACACCTTTACTTGTAATTTTACTTCTTCTCAACTTATTTTACGTCCTAGGAATCGTACATTTATAATTGTAGAACATCTAATGTACACCTACTCTGGTTTCCACACAGTCTTACTTCGTCATCTTTGTCCTTATAGAATTAAAATAAAATACCTTCGCCATTTCATCCTATATATGGATATTTCTGCTGCCTTGTCGAAAGGATATTCAGTGAAACAAGTTTTCAATGTTAAAAACAAAAGCATATGTGCCTATCTAATATTTTTTTTGATCTAAATCTCCAAAATAATATTAATGATGTATATGATACCACATCCATTAATAAACACCAATGCAATCATGGAGAAAGCTCACAAAGTTCATTGTGGCCCTCCACAATGCCACCAATGTCAACCCTCCTACAATCACACAAGAAATGATTGTTACCATGAAATCAGATGCACCAAATGTGGCTATGATCACTTCTCTGAGGATTGTACAAATTACTAAAATAGCGCAGTTAAATGTGCCCTCTGCGTCGAGTGCTATACCGTCAATTTGAAAGGATGTCCAGTATTCAAGTTAGTGTTGGAGCGTCAGGACAATGACCTTTTAAAAACACCCAATCACTGTCTTAAGACAAAATACCCTGCCACAAAGTCTCTTTCAAACACTCCCGCTCTTACCAATTTTAAACCATTCTATGCTTCTGTAGTTTTTGAGTCTGATACTCTTAATATTTTTAAAAATAACAACAATAGTTAATAATCCTTTATCAATAGGTATCTAATTTTTTTTTCCGAACTACCTTCATTAATTAATTTCTTTCTCACTATTCTTACAGCCGTTTTCCAAATATTAATTATATTATTGTATAATGGGTTTTAATTATTTAATTATTCATAACGTCGCATGATTAGCTTATATCATAGTATATAATTTCAATTTTAATTATTTTCGTTTCCTTATATAATTATACTCAGATTTCGTGTGCTCATTATTACTACGCAAATTTTGTATTATACTAAGTCGTGTATCGTGTTATCTATACATATTTATGATACATATACATATATAATTGTTGAATTTAATAGTTTTTACTAAAAGCTAATAAATAACAATAAAAAAAATAATATAAAATTGAAATCGTTTAAATTACGACCTAAACAGAATGAAAAGAAGGTTATATTCGTTAATTATTATTTTATTTGTGCGCACTCGATATAGTTTAATATAATGTATACATTAATACCCATTATAATAATAAAAATAACAATAACAAAGAATGTCTCGTGTGGTTTATTTATTTGGTTTTATATCAAACAAAATATTTTATCCTTGCTATATCCTAATTACGATTGAAAACCTACGCAACTATTGCTAAGAACTAGTTCAATCTAGTTTTCTAATGTAATAGAAATAATAATAAATAAACTATAATCGACGGTACGTTGATTTATTGTCGTTGAATAAATTTTATCGGATTTTCAGTAAATCATTTAGCTCGATGTTTACGAGAAACCCACATCGGTAAAATATGCTGGATGAAAACATTTTTAAATTCAATAACAACTCGCAATGATAGAAACGCATTTCATAATATGAAATAATTTGAACGGAGACAATTCGATTGTAAAATAACAGAAGAGATACACGGAACATTTTTATTGTTAATTTAAGAAAATCAATTTGGTACACATCACCACGTAGTCACTTCATTACTTCGACACGCCTTAATTGCAATCAACAACAGCGAACGTCTTCTTCGTGCACAGACTACAGCTGCGGACACGCTCTTCGTCCATACGTCTTTCATACATCGGACGTATAAATATAAAATTTAATATTATGACAACGAAAATATAGTAATAATAATCGCACATAAGATTGCACGTACGTGTACCTACCTACCCGATAAATATTTACACTGGCTCAATAAATGTGCCTTAGGTTTGATTATATCTTACGATCATTAAAATAAATGTCATGCAGTCTGCGCATAACCATGGTAATGCGTGTACACGTGAGTAATAAAATAAATACACCGTGGTGAGTCATCAGCTATAGGTGTTATTCGAATGGTCAAAAAGAATGTATTACACATTTACACGGGTGCCGGCAATAACATTAAACCCGAGTGTTATAGGTGCATGTATATGTGTATATATACCTAACCATAAAATAGTTAGATAGAGAGAGAAGAAAAGAGACTTCTGGAAAGTTAACTTAAACTAGATGTATGGAGGTCCCCGGAGTAACGAACAGATTATTATTATTATTACATTATGCATGCTGCTTTTTTTAATACAATTTGGATCTTCGCGAGCATACACGGCGATCTGTCAAACCAACGAATCTCTCCGATTAAGAAATACTCGTATATTACACAGGTTCATCATATTATACGCAGTCCCACCCACAGCTACTTTTATTCTGTAGTTTCATCTCGCTTCTCGGCCCATTTTTCGTCACGCTGCTATATACACCATTCTACATATTCGTATGCATATATGATCTAGGAATATATAAATATGTACACGCATATACTTAATATAATGTGTTGATTATGAGGTGGAAAACGAATGATATAACGTGTTTAATGCACATGTTGATGATCACATAATAAGGCAAAATATATACATCTATGAGTATATTTATACATTGTATTTATAAATAGTTATATATTTCAACGTGTGTAGTCTCAAGAATACATTTTGTATTTTTCGTCAATTTCGTACCCGTAAACGTGAATGCAATATAAAAAAAAAAAAAATTGAAATGTAAGATTGATTTTAAACCTAAGCGTTAATCATCTCCCATTTGATTTAATTTTCTGATGTATTTTTAGAAATATACGCGTTGATTAGATTTAATAGGTTACAAAATCGTTGCTTGCAATAACTGCAGTTATTATTCAAACAGAAAGCGTTCATCATTTCCTGTAGCGAAAATAAAAAGCTTAAATAACAGCCCAACTATATTGTCATGTATACGATATACTCGCGATATATTGCCATAACCGTTTCAATGGGTCCAGAAATATATAGGTACATTTGTATCTGTGAATTATAAAATTGTTTGGATCTCACTTTTTTTATCGTTTGGTGTTGACAATCTTATTTTTTGAATATGTCTGCTTTTCATGTACTTACTTCTTCCTATATATGAATAAAACAAAAAAAAAAACAAATATTATAATAATGAAATAATTGGAACACTTAATAATATATAATATATATATATAGGTGGGGTATATCAGTTTATTTTTACTGAGGTAATTACAATTTCGAAAGTCTGATGTACGTATTGTGCGTATTGTATAATTTGCAACAAAAATAAATCTCAAGGATTTAAATGCTTACAAAAAATCGTTTAAATCGCTTAAAACAACAATTTTAATACACGCATGACCCAGATTTGTGTTTTATAATATCACTCCTATCAATATTCAAAATTTTAATTTCCGACAGCAAAAAACTCGTGATACAGACCTCGGGTTTTGGCAATTTAGTCTAATAAGTACATATATAAGTATATGATAATATGTAGAGTAAATACACACGCCGTACTTATTGGACTTATCCTTACACCTGAGTTATTATATATAATTATAGTTTCACGGCGGACGTGAAGGAAAAAAAATATTACTTAGTAATGATCAGGGCTCGTAAGTTGATGTATTTTGCATTTTTTTTTTTTTAACTTTTTAGACGATGTTCTCCTGGTCACAAATATGTTTCATTAGCATTTTTATTTTGTATTTTTTGATATTTTTAGGTCATTTTCCCACATATTTAGTCATTTTAAGTGATTTCACACTAGTTCATTTCTTATCGATCATTATGCTAATAACTTAAGACTTGTCCGATTTTATTTCGCGGATTACATTCGTCGTTGTCGTGTTGTAGTGATATTATTATATCTAAATTTTATTATTTTTTCGTAATATTTTCGAAATGGCGAAAATTAAAACGTCAGTTAGCGCTTGTTTGCATCTCCCAATCACTTCAATGGACGTGGCGAGTTTTTCCAATTATAAATATTTTTAAACAAATAATCGTCGTTCATTTACTTTTTATAACATCAAAGACGCTCTAATCGTACAATGCAATGATTTTGATTTTTGAGTAATTTGTAAGTTTTAATAAATTTATTTAGAATGTTATAGTAAAATATTTAAAAAAATGTATTTTTATTAATTTAAAACTAATATGTGTAATTTTTTAGGAAATTTTTTGTTATTTTTATGTCATATTTACATCTTTTTTAGGTCATTTTTAATGTTTTTAAGGTCATCAACTTCCGAGCTCTATGATATATAATGATATATAATACGTTCGGTTCTTATAATTACAGGTCATAATATTAATTAGTGCAATTTCGTATACACGCATTTATTTACACTAGTATATATTGTTATTATTATTATTAATGTCTATACATAATAATATATTTTGCGTCCGCTGTAAAGCATATACGATTTACTGTTAAATACCGCGATACTCTGCTGATCGGTGTACATAAATAACTAACATTATTTGTATTTTTTTTTATGTTTTTTTATTATTTCGATTTATAACAATAGACTGATTATAATTTTTATCACTGTGCGCGCACGCATTACCATTATAATATAATCAAGGCCGTATCTGGTGGGGGGGGGGGGGGTCCAGACACCCTGGACCCCCCCAAAATTTCTTCAATATTTTATAAATGTTTAAAATAATTTTTTATTTTTTATACTAACATAAATGTTTTCAGTCAAAAATGACTTAAGCTCCAATGATTGACTGTTTTTAGATATTTTTATAGTGTATAATAATAATAATCACAGACTTCTAACCAACTCGCGTAGTATATAGAAATCTGACGTGATAAGATGTCAAAGTAATTTTGCTTATTTGATTTTATTATATTTTAATGAAAGAAGACTAATAAGTCTTATTTTTAACCAAATATCAAAAGTCAAAATTTAAATTCAATAAAATTACAATATACATGTTTTGGACCCCTCCTCAAAAAAAAATTTCTCGATACGGCCTTGAATATAATATCATTATCGTTTTACGACTATGTATAAATGTGTGTATGTGTGTGTGCTGCTGCGGTGAGAACAAATATGACAAAACTAAAATCAGCGTATCTTGTATATACGTTTACTACACGCGTACACGCAGTGAGCAAGGTCAGTACCTCTATACATACATACATTCTGAATTGCTGATGCGGGGAGTTTCTTAAACGTTGGTATGTATTTTTCATTTTCTATCTTCGACGGACAATATACGGGAACAGAAAAACCGAATCGAAAGCCGAAAATGGAACCGTACTGCGCACACGATGATGTTGTCTTGTTGTCTTGGCCGTTTTCAAATATTCAAAGAACCATCGGCAATGCATTTTTCGCGTGCATAAACGGAATAATATAAAACAATTCGAAATAATTATACACATAGCACAGGACCGATAGTCTCACTACTATATATTACACATACGCTCACACACACACACACACACACACACACACGCATACACACGTGTATGTACCTATGTATGTATATATGTATAATGTACGTATAACGTCGGTGTGCGGAATCAGTATGTATATATGTATATATGCGTATACGAGTATACACACATACATGATTCCAATTAAATTAGCGGCATTAATTTGTAGACTTACCAGAAGACCACCCATGGTGTTGCTGATGCTGGCCAGTTGCCTATCGTGTGGTGTGTGTGCATGTGCTGCTCGCCGTGCATGCGCGCGCGCGTTTTTTTTTTGTGTGTCAGTGAATGTGTGCGAGTGAGTTGTGCGTACGTATGCGCTCGCCCGCTCGTGTGTGTGCGTGTTGTATATGAGTTGATAAGTTTGCATAGTGGTCCTTCGGTATTTTATTCGTCCGTACGATCCGTATAAATATATTATAAAATTTATTATCATATACAATTACTTCTTCCTTTTTTTTTTTTTTGTTCGTTTTGTTTGAATACAATACTAGGAGAAATGATACGCGCACGACACATATTATTTTATGAATAATATTCGACTAAATAATTACGACGGTCGCGCATACTATTTGAGGCTGGTACATGTGTAACGTGTACATGTACATTTATAAACGGAATGGAATAAAAGAGTTACGTTTTTAAAAACAACCGCGAAACCCTGATTCAACATTAAATGTATAAACAGAAATCGATTTTAGGCATTCTTATGTATATGAACAATCAATAGCCATTAGTGGGAATAATAAATATGAAATTGAGAAATAAATAAATATATTAATATTATAGCCTACATAACTCTTAAAAATTAATCACAAACGGATATAAACATATGTGAAATAATGAGAGGTTTTTTCATCGAATTATTGAAAACGAGTGAATACAAGCATCATGTTAATTTACTATCATAAATAATTGCACATGCATACGAGTGCGGGTACACCCGGGTTAATATAGACGTATTAAAATTTTACGTATTACGTTATGCACTCTGTAATACACGAGTTTGCTTTTAAAAATATTCGAGGTGAAATCGTAAAGAGATACGTACACACGCTACACGTAAACCGAGTATAACGAGGATAAGGCTACGTGAGCGCTCGTCGTGTACAATGATAACTTTTATAAATATTTATTTTTTTTTTTTTGCACTTTTATAATATATACAATATGTTTTACACGTGAATACGACATAAAATTAGATTTGCATGGCAGTCATGCAGGAACAGGGTACCGATTAGGTGCCCATACACGAGCGGATTTTATAACGGATTTGGTCTGACGGACTAAATCCTTAGGTCCTTTAACGTGTCCACTAACGTGAAAATAAAAGTCCGCTATTTTTCGCGGAGCGAATCCACCAGCGGACCATGTCCGCTGGTTAGTGGAGGAAAATTAGGAGCTCGGGTGTGCTGATCACAAATTGATCGTTTCAGTTCGCAAATAATTATTTTGGTAATAGCGTACGCGTAACACATGTTTACAGATAGATCTCCGGATTACGCGAACCGCCATCGGACAGAGTTCGTGCGATTGTCGGAGCGTTGCTTTTGCTTTACGTACACGTCTTACGTGCGTTATATTGACCGGACCATTTTTCTTCAAGACTGAACAGCGAATACTTTTGTTCTGATCGCAACGGAATACATCTTATGCAAAGCTCATCGTGAGCAACAATAATATAGTAATTTCTTCGTCACAAATCGACGACGCTATGACGAACGATGTATGCGAACGCCGTCACTGCTAACACACAGTAATGATATATTTTATACGTATACTGACCACGCAAGTGCAAATTCTTTAAATTTATAGTTTAACAAACCTCCCACGAGGGTATTATATATAATGTTTACTGCTGCTCACAGTATTATTCTATACGAAGGACTCTCGACGAGTGTGACTGCGTAAACGTGTACCAGAAAAAGATATATTTTCATATAAGACGTGTACACTACTACATAAATCACATTGTTCGGCGAAAACGGAAAACGGATATCTTTCGCGTTTCTTCGTATCCGAAAATATTATAACAAATCGATTGGCCTTGTATAAATGCGATGAAGTAGCGTACACCTATTGTGTTTAATAAGTAAACTGCTAATTTTACCGTGACTTATGACTGCAATGTCCAAATTAACTATGTCAAAAGAACAAACGATTTTAACGTACCGACCGTATGACTACGTATAAATCAAGAATATAAATATGTAAAAAAAAAAAAAAATAATAACTACGAAATAAATGACGGAAAGAAACGTTATATTGCTGTAGTAACATATTATTATAATGTAAATTGTATTAATTACGAATGCAGACAAAAAAGCAAAACGCAATTACGGGAATAATATCATCGTATATTTAATTTGCACGTCAAATTCTTACGGGTAAAGTCGATTCATAAACGCACAGTAGAATATCGCAGTTATACGTACGCAGTGTACGTACACCCCGGCCCAAGCATATGAATAAGAAAATCTAAAATCGATATTCTTACAGTTGCGACTATGGGGGTTCCATTCCATTGGACGTTTCCACCCACGCATTCGACGACATCACCGACCCCTGTTATGCAGATAATGTATAATTGATTATTTATCATAACGTTTTGTAGTACGATGTACTTCATATCGTTCGCATAAGATAGGTCGAACTTAGATGTGAACACATTTTAACGGATGACTACATTTTAAACAGGTTTGCACGCGACCCATGAGTTCTATTAGGGTACGAAACATATTGAAAAACACAGAATCCGTAAAAGTTCGATCTGCATGTACGTATTATGTACATGTTATACTATATTATTTATATATATAATTTACATAACCAAAGGATGAGAGCGTGTTGTAGGAATCAATATATATCTAAAATGAAATATGTAGATTATACTTTTAAGTATAAAATGAACGAAATTTTTGAACGGATGTCCATTGAATATAAAAGTTTCGTTTCATGATATAGGTTTTTATATAATTATAATATTATATTACACAACATTTTAAATATATTAATAGTATACACACTACACAGTGTTTAAATATTTTGAAAATTAGATTTTATAACGAAACAATGTTTGTACGTGTGCGTGCGTATATTAGGAGGCCGAGTTGCGTTAGGTTCTTGCACGTAAACGTTTTTGACATTCGGACATATTGCGCGTTCCCTTTCGCCCTTCAATCACGAACCCGGCTATACGTGTCTACGCAAACCGAAAACATGATATTATATTATGCATGGCGATTCGAACTTTGGCTAACTATGGCAACGCGAGCATTGTATATTACAAAAATACGCACAAGTGCGTGTGTATAATACACGTTCACGCAGCACACACCCTGTAACGTACTTATATCGTTGCAGACTGTGATAACTAAGAAAGGATGACGTCACGGTGCACTGACCGCCATTGAAGCTATTGTTCCTCGATATGATGATAATAATATATTGCGATGATTAGACGGTTAGCCGGGCAATGGTCAACTTCTCGATCGTCGGTCGACTCGCACTTTTTCTATCGTTTTCTTAAACGCTGTTATACAGAGTCTGTACACATACGTTTTGTGCATACAATAACGTTCGTGTTCGTACAACACAGTGGGTATCCTTTAGTCGTTTGCGTTTTTGCGAGTTAATGTTGCATTATGGTAGGTCTCGGTATAATACGTATATGTATTATACTTCTTCGTCACCGTCGTCGTCGTCGTCGTCAATTTATTGCACATTATTTCTACGAAACCGTGTGTGCGGTGGAAAACGATAGAACGTTTCAGTTGGACTCACATCTGACGATTATATCGACACAATACACATACACATCTTAGAACAACAATATCTATATATGTACACATATACGTACATTGAAGTGTGTTGTGATCCGTCCGTCGTTAACACGGTGTAGCAGACGGAAAAGCAGAAATAGAGCATGGATCGTAATCGACCCGCCGTGGTAATGATACAATGTAATAATATCGTATTGTATTGTGTGCCGAGGGTAAAGGATATGGTATTGGATATCACTGTTACATCCTATACATATATGCCTATACGCGCTAATGCGGCGTGGTGATGTGCGTCGTGGAGGATATATACTGTTGTGCGCGTGACACGTCCTTCTGTGTCCTGCTGCTACATTATACACTAAATATTTATACACACACTCCACGGGATCACCAAAAACGCACTGTGCGGCATCGTATACATATAGATACTTGTAACAGGTGGACACATACGTGGATAACGAACGAAATTGGTAATAGAGTTACACATTGTGTATAACAATATGTGTACTGCGGTAATCGAAGGTTTCAAAAATTGCCGAGAAGTATATGTGCACGTACAATATATCTATATAAGTGTCATCATAATTTAGGTTTAACTGTTAAACTATTTTATCACAACGGCCAGGGCCGGCACCAGCAAATATTGACGGGGGAATGGGTTATAAATATACAAATTTGCCGACTACTTTCTAAATTAAAATTCTACGTTACTAATATCACTTAATAATTTGTTGACGATTTCCGACCATATAAATAGGTCATTCATTGGTAGGGAGTATTTCAACCCCCCACAACCCCTAACGCCGGCCCTAGCAACGGTGGATGGTAGGTATTTATGTATAGACTGTTTCAGGTACGGTGTGGGTCTTTATTACGAGTTCATGTATTATTCGTCCTCAGTTATATTTTTTTCCTTGGACGTGCGAAGAAAGACTGAATCATATAATGTATACATGGGTATAAGATTGTTATGATATAATATACGAACGACACACGGGACACACGTGGTTAATTAGTTTAAAACTATCGTTTCGGGAGGTTTAGGCGAACACACACACAGACACAAATCTATATATAAATATACCCTTACGGGTTCAACAGAAATAATTATTTAAAAACCAAAATTCATATGTATTAGTGTGTGTGTGTGTTCGTTTCTTTATCTGTTCGATCGTCCGTTGCGGTATAGATCGATCTCCGTGTGTTTGACACTATATCGTAATACGGTCCTAATGGACGAGTCCGAGCACACGATACACGAAGAACGATGTTTTCCCTATATAAAATACGTTTCTCACTCATTACACGATAATTCGTTTTATCAATCTTATTGTCGAATATCTTTTCCACGTCCACAGCATAACTTATGTCAGTGGCGTTTAGGTTTATATATATATTTATTATACATATAGGTAACAAAACTCGAACCGTTCATAAAAAAAAAATATTTCATTACGCGCTGCAGTAGACATATGATATATATATATATAAGTACATAACGTACATTTACATATATTATTACATTATAATATACGTTTACAGAGGCACGCGAGATATCTAAATAACATTATTTAGTACGTTCTCGAATGGAAGTTAAAAGATTATACATTATAATGTCAAATATGTATATACTATTAAAAATAGTTGACGAACGCGACGTGCATTCTCCT